CCATCGGCGAGCAAGGGATGGATGATGGCGGTGCTGGTGAAGGTGGTGGTGATGGTGGTGGTGGTGGAGATGATGATGGTGATGACGATGTCAACGATGATGGCGGCCATGATGATGCTGCTGCTGGTGATGGTGGTGATGAATATGATGATGATAGTGATGGTGATGATGATGATGCCGATACCGATGGTGATGCCACTGGTGATGATTGTCATGGCGAAGGTGTTGGTGGTGATGATGATGCTGAGGATGATGAAGGTGGTGATGGTGGTGGTGGTGGTGGTGCTGATGATGGTGTTGAAGACGTTGGTGTTGCTACTGATGATGCTAGTGGCATTCGTGGCCATGGTGGTGATGGTGATGCTGCGCATGCTGGTCATGATGATGGCGATGCGGAGGGCGACGGGCTAACGCATGGCACATGTCATTAACGGTAAAAGTGGGCGGCTGAAGATTGCCCGAAGGTCGCGTCCGCGAACGTCCAGCTCCAGTTTGCTGCTTATCTTGCGACTCTGGCGCACGTGAGGCGCGCGTGGATATTGATGGAGAAACCGCTTCAGAGCAGGATGGACGAACACCCGACCATGCAGACTGTGATGGCGCTGCTGGGTGCGTCTACGATTCTCACATACATGGGCGCGTTCCAGCCCAGGCCGCTCATCCCGAAAGCGTGCAACCTCATCACTACTTTACCTTCCACTGTTCACAACATGCTGGCGAAGAAACGCCCGATATGCAGCTCCAAGAAGTCGGACAGGGATCGGTTCCACGCGGAGATTCGAGGGTGGGTCGTCGGCGGCAAGGGCAGGCGTCGTTTCTCTTGCGGGGCAGGGATGAATAGAGAGGAACGGGGGGGCAGAGGGGTGCCCACCCGCACCCCCGACCTACCTCCGCCATCGTTCCCATTCCCACCTTGGAACCATTCCTGGGAGACAGAGAGAGGGGGGAGCAGAGGGCGCGGAGAAACGATGCCGAAGAGAGCGAGACGGAGGAAGGGGGAGACGAGGAGAACGAGACGGAGGAGCCATGAGAAATTGCAGTGGGGCGTTCAAGGGCAGTGCGGCAAGCACAACATAGGGGAAGCGTCGGGTCTGGTGACGACACCATGGGGAGGAGGGGGTCACTCTGACCCCCTAGCATCGCGAGGCGATGATGTAGGCAGCACTCGGATCCAGCACGTGCGCGCCAGTATCTGCGCGCGTGCGCGCGCAGAACGCACATTGCGATTTGTTTTGCGATCCTCGGGGTTCTGGTCACACTACTGCTCGGCCCCCTACCCCATTGTGCAAGAGCCCATCATCTCCCCCCCCCCCCCGCCTCTCTTCGTGGAGGAGCTGAGTTCCACAGAGCATTATCCGAGGGGATACTGCGAGACCCTGTGGAACGCGTGGAAGACCGCGCAGCAGAAGGCTATATTCATGGACAGAATTAACTTTTTGATGAGCGATGGCCAGATCATGAGGAAGAGGTCGAGGATGGCAGCACTCTTGGAGAAGGACACAGCTGCCGAGAAGCTTGCGCCAAGAAAAGGGCATCGATCGTCATCCAACAACCGCACGCTCCACGAATACGGCAAGGCAGTTCTCCGCTCCATTTGGAAGCCTCCTAGATGGAGTCCGATCGAATAGATGGGGTCGAAGGACAGCGCCGCGTCGCCAATATGCATTGCATATGCATCGGCGATGCGTAGGCGACGTCGGCGATGCATCGGCGGCGCTGGCGCGGGGAATCACTCAACGACGGCCTCTGCTTGACACTTCCTCACACATTGTCCCCCCCCCCCGCTCCCCAGAACTTGGAGTTGATAAATGATGGGTCGACCATGCCAAGTCAAGTGTGCCGTTGTCGTATGTTTAATGTAATCGGAGTCTCCTTCTCGGCATACCCTCTGGCATGGTCACAGTATGGTCTTGAGTCCTCTCGGGTGTCTTGTCGCATCACTCCGTCTGGCCCTTTCGCAGATTCCAGCACCTCCGCAGCCATTTGGGCTTAGGTGCTGCCAGGCATTACCTGGCCAGATAGTCACACAAAGTCTACGGTGTGTTTTCTTTGCCCCAGCTGACGGGGCCAGTGATCCACATGGACATGGGCATGGCGTCAAGCAGCGCTAGCCCAGCGAGCGGCGCGCAGCCAGCTATGGCACAACCTGTTGGTGCTACTTGCCATTTGCATGGGTGGGTGGCGTCAGACATTGACACGGGCGTGCTCGAGGTGCACGGAGCAGCTCGCTTGCGATCGATGGGCGTGGAAATCAAGAAGCTCGACATCTTCGAATTACATCGGGAGGACTGGCTCACCCAGGTGCCGAGCCTCATCTTCATGTCCAACCTATGCCCTCCGACGGGCCATAGGGACTACTTGCAGTGGCTTTTGAAGAAGTACTTGCAGTGGAACCCGAACGCATCAGAGCGCAGGATGCACTACGAGGTCATGTGCTTCGAGGCGGTCATCGCACAATGTCCATCTGCGTCTGTTGTGACCATCATGCGGTCGAACGAAGCTCGTCGTGGCGGGGGCACTCCCGTCGTCGAGGCCCAGATGGGGCACGTGCCTGGCTACGTTCCCAAGGAGTGCAACCATGATGCGGGAGACGACCTGAGGCCTCTGGGCGGCGGCGGGACCAACAGAGTGCGCATGAAGCTCCACGGCCCCCTCAGGCCGAACGATTTCATCTCGCCAAACGGTGACGGCAGCATCAACGTAGTTGCGCTGTGTGCTGCAGCCACGGCGAATCGGATGAAGGTGCTGTTCCTTGGCGAGTGGGACGGGTCATTGTCCCTCGGGTGCGCGGTTGGATGCATGTACCACCAGACGCTCGATCGGGAACTGGGTATCGGAATGGTCTTTGATCGGGGCATCGTGCCAAGGCGTTCGTTGAACAACCAGCGCCCATCCACATACAAGGAGTTCTACGAGTACGCGATGCAGTACCGCGCGGTGCAGATCGTCGATGAAGCGGCGCGCATGAATGCTCCTTGGCCTGAGGACTGGGAGGACAGACTCAATCCATACGTCGGCCTCAATACGGCGTGCATGTGGCATTTTGCGCAGGTCTGCACCGACGCTAATGGCCTGTCCTTGGTTTTCAGTGCAGCTCAGAGTTCCATGGGGGCAGGTCCGATCAATCCTTGAGCGCTTTGGGTGGCAACTCAGAATCGACACGTTCTTCATCGGCTGATGTTCTTAGCATTTTGTATGTTCATTGGCAGCGCTCAGTGCATGATGATGCTCGTGCATGTGCTTTGTTCAGTGTGTCAGGAATATGGCGGCTCGCTCTGGGATTGCCCCAGTGTACATCGCCACAGTTGTAGGTGCACAACGTTTTGTATATTGCAAATAATGAAAAGGTACTTGTCATGCGTGATCAGAGCCTAGTACAGTTTCTGGCTTCTCAGCGTGGTTTCGCAGTGCTTGCCGTGTTTGGAGTGGGTTTCCTTGAGACTTGTGTAAGTGAAGCTCAGTGAAAAGGGCATCGTGATCAACAGTTGTGGTTTGTCGTGCGACGCTGACCAATGCTAACAGCTGTGGTATGCCAGTGCCGTCCTATGTTATGCAATGCTCTGGTGCCGATGCTGGTGCTGATGGGGCGCCCCAGCATCAGCACCAGCATCGGCACCAGCGCCAGCATCAGCTTCATCACGATGATGATGGTAATCAACATCATCATCAGCATCAGCATCATCAGCATCATCATCACCATCGTCATCATCAGCAGCATCACCATCATCATCAGCAGCACCACCATCATCGTCGTCATCAGCATCTTCATCATAATCTTCATCATCATCATCATCATCATCATCATCATCATCATCATCGTCACCCTCCTCCTCCTCCTCTTCCTCCTCCTCTTTCTCCTCCTCATCCTCCTCCTCCTCCGTCTCCTCCTCCTCCTCCTCCTCCTCCTCCTCCTCCTCACCCCCCTCCTCCCATGCCTCCTCCTCCCCCCGTTCCTCCTCCTCCTCCTTCCCCTCCTCCTCCTGTTACTCTTCCTTTTACTCCTCCTTTTACTCCTCGTCCTCCTCCTCGTCCTCCTCCTCTGGGAGAGAGCCTCGAGCACCCCAGGCTGCGTGGGATTGAGGGGGCAGCCCGTATGCAACCAGCCCGCCTGCTGCTTTTCCTCCTCCTCCGCCCCCCCCCCCCCTCCCCATCCCTGTCCCCGTCATCGCCCTCCTCCCCCCCATGTTTTGTCACGGCCAGCGTGGCCGCGTGGCCTGGGCATGGGCGCTCGAGCCCAGCATTTGCATGCAGGCGGATTCGGTATCCGACCAGCCATAACTGGGGGAGCTGTGGTCCTTATATGCCCCGTGGACGAACCCATCGCATCGACGATCTCTCGAGAGGGGTGTCGAAATCGATGGCCCCCCCCAGGGCGTAAACACCGCAGCACTCCCAGTTGTGGCTGGCCTGGGTATGGTGCTCTGATATACATGTATATATACACATGCGTGTGTGTATATATATATATACAACTAACTATTACACATTACTGTCGCCGTTTGTCTATGCAAACATATATATACACAATATATACGTGTTGAACTATGAGTCTACATATGTGCATATATATGCGTATGTATATAATACATAACGCATCTATATCTAAATACATGTATGTATATATATATACATACAGATTTGTGTTATATATTTATATATATATATATTCTCAAGTAAGATGGTTCCGGGATGCGATGATGGTTCCGGAGCTTTCGCTGCTGCCCAAAATGTTCCGGTTCGGAAGTTTGCTCGGGAACCAATCTCCGGTTCCGGAGGACCTCTGGGTGGACGCCCGAATTATCCGGGGTAACTCGGGTCCGGGGTAACTCGGGTTTGGATTCCCGAAAAACGAACCCGAGTTATCCCTGACCCGAGTTACCCCTGATGATTCGGGTCTCTGAATCTGTGTCTCTCCGGGGCTCGCAGCCAGATCCCCGGGCACGACCGCTGCCCGCCCACAGCTGCAAGCTCCAGCCTCCGCCCGTCCGGCCAGGGCGCGCCTTGATCTCCGCCCTGGCCTGCATCGTCACTCTGGCGGCGTGGGCCCAGCAGCTGCCACAAGCTCCCTCGGGGCGTCCACGGGGGTTGATGCACTTACGGAGCAACCGATCTAGGGCCATGCACCCAGGAACGTAAAATACCATACTACCCCGTGACAATCAAAGCGTACCAAACCAGGCAACGACCCAATACCACTGAATCCGGGATGTGCACAACGAGGTCGCTTCAGGGAACAACTGAACGAGAGTTAGAACCGGGAATGAGGAAATATGTCGACTGCGTAGACTGATGCCCCAACACTTCGTATGAACGTTCTCAGCCTCGATCTGTGCAGTAGCGTGTCGACGTCATACCAATCAGACAATCGATATTACCCTATGCGGCTAGTAATACCATATACATCTATAAGATATGGTACGTACGACCGTGGGTTACCCGACAGAGCAGCTGGAAGTGCAGCAGTCCACTACACGCAGCTCCAAGCACGACTATTCTGATCAAGCGACGATGGTGACATCTGCTAGTTCCCCCAACTGATGGAAAGGGGTCTCCACCATGCTCTGGGGTCTGCTAACCCAGGTCAATCAGACCCGAGTCAGCAGGAAACCAAAAAACTGCAATGCAGGAAGAAAAAGCTGCAACGCAGGGCTTCGCAAACCCGGGTCACTCAATATGCGCGGCCGCCTCGCGGCCGTGAGCGGCTCGCTATCCCGGGTCAGCCAGAGGGGGTCTTCGCAGGATCCTGCAGGATCCGGTGCCCTGGCTGACCCCCGTTTGCATTGACCCCGTCTCTTGAGCCCCGACATGCGAAAAACAGTTGTCCGATTCCGGAAACCCTGAACCCAAAAACGTTTCCATCTCCTAGGGCGCATACTTTACTTCCGCCGCCGTTCGCCGGCCTTCCGCCGGCCTCCGCCGACGGAGGCGGCCTTGTCTCACTTCCGCCGTCCTTCCGCCGCCTTCCGCCGAGGAAGAGACGACAATTCCTTAGATGCTCGAAGGCATGGCCATTTTTGGAACGCCTCATGTGTGCGTGGGCAGAGTGTCGCACATCCTCCAGCGACCGCGCGACACAAGCCTGATGCCCCCAATTATGGTCTCCTCTCGATGAGCGAGAACATGCAGAAAAAGGGAGGGCGAAACATACCTCATGGATCGACCATCGTATCGTTGACCCTTCAACACAGTAATTTGTCAACGTGTACTTAAATCCTGCGGAGCCTCTGACTGTGATGCCACACACGCACACACACACACGCTCACATCCACACAAACTCACACACACCAATACACGCACACACAAACACACACACACACATACGCACACACACGCGCACGCAAACACACACACACACACACACGCACGCAAGCACGGTCAAAGACACACACACACAAACACACACACACACATACGCACGCACACACACACACACACGAACGCACGCACGCACGCACGCACGCACGCACGCACCCACACACGCACACACCGACACACACAGACAGACACAGACACGCACGCACACACATGCACACACATACACACACGTACGCACGCACGCACGCACGCACGCGCGCACACACACACGCACACACACACACACACGCACACACACACACACGCACACACGTACACACAGACAAACACGCACACACGCACAATCACACAGATACGCACACACAGACAGGCAGACACACACGCACATACGCACACACGCAGACAGACAGACAGACAGACAGACAGACAGACAGACAGACAGACACACACACACACACGCACGCACACACAAACACACACACGCACACGCAACCACACACACACGCACACGCACGCACGCACGCACTCACGCGCACACACGCACACACACACACACACACACGCACACTCACACTCACACACGAACGCGCGCACGCACGCACACACACAGACACTCACACACACACACACACACATCCACACACGCACACACATACGCACCCACACACACACACACACACACACACACACACACACACACGCACACACAGACACACACACACACAGACACACACACACACACACACGCACACACAGACACACACACACACACACACAGACACAGACACACACACACACACAACACACGCACACCCACCAACGCACGCAAACACGCACGCACGCACGCAAACACACACACACACACACGCACACACACACACACACACGCACGCTCGCATACACACATGAACACACATACACACACACGCACTCGCACACACACACACGCACGCACACACAGACAGACACACACACACACACACACGCACATACGTACACACGGACAGACAGACACACAAACACACAAACACGCACACACACGCACACACACACACACGCGCACGTACACGCACACGCACACGCACACACAATTCCTCGCTCAATCCATACCGCGCTCAAGACTAGCTGCTTGCGTCGTCCTGGAGAGACTGGGAAGGATCTGGACACGACAGCTTTGACCGCATCGCGCGTCGAAGTAATGTCGACCAGGGGCTTAATCCATACCACGCTCAAGACTAGCTGCTTGCGTCGTCCTAGAGCGACTGGGAAGGATCTGGACACGACAGCTTTGACTGCATCGCGCGTCGAAGTAAAGTCGACCAGGGGTGATCTGCCCTGCCATTCATTCCAGGCAGGTCGACAGGGGCGTGCACCCCACCGGCCCGCCTGGCGCCCTCCTCGGGACGGGCCGTGCCGCTCTCGCCGACCCGCAGACGAGCCAACAAATCTAAAGAGAAATTAGGACACACAAATAAATACACACAAATAAAAATAGTCCCCATATTTTCTCATATTTTCTGGGTTTTTGTCTTCCCCCCCAATTCCCATATTTTCCCATATTTTACTGGGAATCGAGGATTAATTGTGTCTGTGTGTTTTTTTCCCTCCTGAAAATCGTTGCGGCACCTCTGACGCGTGGTTTGTTCCGCCCCTGGTCGAACCCCAGCTGCTACAGTCGGACCTAGGGCAGAGGTCCAAGTCCTATCAGACTGGCCCGCGAGGGGCAGGACCCGGGGTGAAACCCTCACTCGTCGAACTTCGCTTCAGCTGCCCCGTCAACGAAAACGGAAGAAGATGCCTGCCAGACCGCGGAACTCCGAGCCAGACGCCCCCAGTGGCCAAGTGCCCGCCTAGGGCAGAACAGCATCCCTCAGGAACACGAGGCCCTCCGCCGGCCAACATGCACCGTGCATCCAAGGGTGCCCGTCCCGGGCACCCACTCCGAGCCGACCTCGATCTTCTACCTCGGTCCGACTGTATTGCTTTTCCTGCGGAGGACAAGGGTATTGGTGGGGACTGAAGAAGGATCGGACGAGGTGAGTCTCCTGGTCGGAGCTGTTGGCGGTGATCGCGGACAAGGTGCCCCACGAGAAGTCCTTTGGAAGGTCGTCGCCGCGCTTCTTGTGGCGCTTGCGCTTCTCCAGGAAGAAGGGCAGGCCGCTCGCCAGTCCCCCGCCCTGGTCGACGGGCCGCGTGACCATTGAGGGGCAACACTTCCAGGCATGCTTTGAAATAGGTTGGGCTGGATTCTTCGTCCTTCGATATTCAGACGTGGGCTATCGGATCGCTGCGGGATCGCTCCAGCATGCAGGCGGGAAGTCGCGTGATCCACCGCACGAGCTCTGGGGGGGAAACCCAAGCGGAAATGCCAACGGGCCGCTGGGGCAAACGGTGCCCATCGGAGAACAATCTCGCTCGCTCGACCTCCGTGGCTCCCCCCCGCTGCCTTGTCAGAGCCCGACTGCTACAGTGGAGGCCAGCTCACAAGAAACCTCCCACAAGAAATCCAACCCTGAGACCACAGGACATCTAATTACTGATTTTTGACGCTGCGCTCTCCACAGCAAAACCTCCAAAACCTGAGAAACCCACGGTTCCCTGGAGGCGAGCAGGGTGTCTCTTGGCGTGGGTCTCCACTGTGGCTGCTCCATTCTGACATGTACGGCAGGTTCGTGTCGTGACGACTTGGGCGTTAGTTCCTGACGCCAAGGGGATCGTTCAACTTTGAACGATCGGCGGTTTGCGAAACGTCAGATCGTTCAACATCGGCCAACTACAGGTCGCCGGCGGCGTTCAACGTTGAACGCCGGCTGCGGGGTCGCCGCTGGTCGACACGACGCGAATCTAACGTACAATGATTCAGACAGTCCAACAAGCCGCAGCACAGCGTACAGTTCGGGCTCCCCAGTCCATGCTCCCCTTCCGAGTCCTGTGGGATAGTGTGCCACCTGTTGCCGTCACAGAGTTCCAATGACTTCCGGAGACGTTCCAGTGCGGGCTCCACGAGGGCGCCGAGGCCCCAGCAAACAGCAAAAGATGGCCCCAACAAAAGCCACGCAGACGCCCCGAGGACGCCCACGGCCTGCAAGTTACAGTAGGGGCCCATGTCAAGAAACACCCTGCTTGCCTCCAGGGTGCCCTGGGTTTCTTGGGCTTTGATGGTTAGGAGGAGGAGGAGGAGGAGGAGGAGGAGGAGGAGGAGGAGGAGGAGGAGGAGGAGGAGGAGGAGGTGGCTCCGCGACCTCGGCAGGGCACCCGCCGGCTGTCAGGGGCCCGCGCGCGACAGCCCCTGCGGCACGTGAGCCTACGACGAGTCCGCGTTCCCAGGGCCACGACCCCTCGGGGATTCCGCCGATGACAACTCACGGGACACGTCAGAATTTAGGAGGCAACTGCTGGGAGTTCCTTGGCGGAAGGACTAAGGAGGATTCAGCCCCATTGGGGGCTGCTACGCTGGAGTCGGCCTCGGCTTAAGCAGGATCAAGCCGGATTGAGTGGGATCAAGCGGAATTAAGCCGGATTAAGCGGACTTAAGCCAGATTCAGACGGATTTCGGACCAAGACAAAATCAGAATTTGACCTCCCAAGAGTTGCATCCGAACAGAATGCCGTGGGCCCCGCGCGGGCCTCAGCCGTGTTCAGCTTCAGTCCTGCGTGATCTCTTGTGAGCTGCTGGATGCTGATTGCTGGCGGGGGTGGCCCCGTGCACGTCGTCGGCTGGCGCAGAGGGGTCCGCAAGGGTTCCTGCCCTCGACTTTCTTTGCACCTAATGAAACACGATGGGTATGACGTCCAGGGCAACGGTCCATTGTGAAACAACAAAGCTTGTGCTCCCATGTCCACGATCCGGAAGAAAAGATAGGCCAGCGCAGGCTACGACCATATCGTAAGACTGCCACGGAATGGACTGGAAAAGACTGAAGTCGACTGGGCTGGCGTAGACTGGACTGAACCAGGGTGAATTCTACCCCACTCTACTCTGTTCTGCCCGACTTTGCTCTTCCATTTACTCTACTCTGCTCTACCATGCACTGCCCTGCCCTACCCTCCCCTTCTTTACGCTACTCTTCTCAGCCCTACTCTACTCTGCTCTACTCTATTCAGCTCTGCTCCACTCTCCTCTGCTCTGCCCTACCCTAGTTCAATATAGTGCACTCACCGACTCTTCTCTATTCTATTCTGCTCGACTCTGCTCTACTCCAGCAAGCCGACTCAAATCCACACATTGTTTCCTCACCCCAGCACCCGGCTCCATCCCAGCATACCGGCGCTCATCCAGCACACCTAACTGTTATACTTTGCTCTATAATACTCAGCTCTGTCCTTCCTGGTTGGTCAGAATGAAGGGGGGCGAACGGTCATTCACTGTCCCTGGGCGCGTGGTTGAAATGGAATTCCACGGCGCGGATGCTGCTTCTTGCTGTTGATGTTGCTGTTATTGTGGCCCTCTCATTTCTGAAAACAACTAACCGACCACGGGCGATAATGGCCCACCTGGGATAATAAAGTTTGCAGTTCTGGCGAGGATGATAACATACTTTACCGGGGAAGGTAAGTTATGATGATGATGATGGTGGTGCCGATGATGACGATGATGATGGTGATGACGGCACAAGGCTCACTCGAGAGATCTCGAGGCTCGTGACTAACCAGACGCACGACACAAGGCTGACCCGAGCGATCTCGAGGCTCGCGGCTAAGCAGGCGCCTCGATTTTGCAAGCGCAAGAGAGGTCCTTGGCCGATCTGGCCAAGAAGCCTCTCTTGCACTGGACCAGGAAGAGAAGAATCAGAATGGCGGTGTGCGTGTGGGGGGGGGGGGGCGGAAGAGAGAAGGGGGTGGCTCCGGGATCATTTTTGTTTTTTTGTTGAGTCGGGGCCTCAAGTTTTTTTTCAGCGGTAGAAGCAGATTGCGCGCAATCGTTTTCAGGGGCGCATGGGGGGGGGGGGTGGCGCGGGTGATAAAACGAACCCGGCGATGAAAAAAAGTTCGGCCCCGGGGGGGGGGGCGGAAGGAGGGGGGGGAAATGAATATAAGCAATAGGACAGGGAGAAGGAAGAGAAGGCACAGCACTTTTTCGAAGCTGTTGCTAGCCAGCACGAAGCGATAGCAACTTCGATCCGAAACATACAAGGAAAGGAAAAGGCGAACAAGAGAGAAGAGAAAAGCTGAAGACAGATGAGGAAGAGGAATCCTGCTCGGCAGGCTCAGCCTCGAGCCTCGCGGCCTCGAGTGGCTTGCGGAAGCTCGCAGTGGAGTCAGCCGTCTCGCAAGGCGAGGTTCTCAGCTTCTCGCGCGAGCTCGGGGCCGCGGGCGGCGAGGTCTGCAGGCCCCAGAGGCTCGACAAGCTCGTCTGCTTCGTCGGCGTGACCATCGAAGTCTCCCTGCAAAGCTGCAGTAGCTCGAAGCAGAAATCCTCGAGCCAACGCGGTGCGGAAGGTCGACAGTGTTGACTTGTCGTTGGTGCTCCGCGGTGTTCGCTTGTTGTTCTTGCTTGTTCTGCTGCTGTTGTGGTTTGCTGTTGCGTCGGTTGCTGGTGTTGCTGTTGTGATTGATGTTGCTTCTGCTGTTGTTGGTGGTGCTGTTGTTGTGCTGGTTGCTGTTGCAATGGTTTGTGGGGCCGCTGCTGTCTGCGCGCGTTGAGTTGCTTGCGTGTGCCTGTGTTATTTGTATGGGTGGTTTTGTTGCTCTGGCACCTGTCTCTTGTCTTAGTTTTCCTGGCGCCCTCGAGGCCGGGGGGTCACCTCGCTGAGATTTTCCAGCGCCTCGCCCCCACTCTGCCCGAGAGCGCCGCGCCCAGAGCTCCCAGCGGCCCGCGAGGCGCCTCAGGGCTGAGTCAGGACTCGGGACCGAGGCCTGCGAGGCATCGCGCTGCCTCGTCGTTGCGGGCTTGCAGAGGCGCCTGCGCTTTTCCTCAGGGCCGAGCTTGACCTCCGGCTCCATCGTGTTCTCGAGCTTGGGGGGGCCCTTCTTGTCCTCGAGCTCGACCTTCACGTCGTCTGGCTTGGCCTCGAGCGTGGCCTTCTTGTCGTCAAGCTTCTCGTCCTCGAGGCTATTGTTCTCGGGTTTGCTTGCGCCCCCCCCCAGCGCGGTGGGTTCCGCCCCCCTCACCCACTCGTCGCCCTTCGCCCGCTCGCCGACGCTTTCGTTGTTCGACCGCTCGGCGACAGGCCGACGATCGTCGCCGTCCGACTCGGCCATGGGGTGATGCGTCTCGGCCATGGGGTGCTGCGTCCTCAGCTGGCTTGGAATGCTTGAACCTAAATTGGCCACGGTTGTTTGTTGTTCGTGTTGTTTGTCTTGCTGCTATTATTGTTTGTCTTGTTGAGTTTGCTCTCCTTGTTTGTCTTGCTGCTACTTGCGAGCGTGCGAGTGTGCAGCTGTCTGTTATCCCTGTCGTTTGTGTTGGTGCTGTTATGTCATGCTTTTGCTGCTGTTTTGCTGTTTGCTGTTGTTGTCGTGGCTGCTGTTGATTGCGTTTCGTTATTGTGTGTGAGTGTGTGTGTTAGTGTTCGTGTGTGTGTGCGTGGAAATGTGGGTGTTCGTGGCTGCCTGAAAGTGGGCGAGTGTGCAAGTGTGTGTGTGTGTGTGTGTGTGTGTGTGTGTGTGTGCGTGCGTTTGCGCGCGCGCGCGTGCGTGTGCGCGCGTGCGCGTCGGTGCGTCTGCGCGCGCGTGCGCGCGTTTGCGCGCGCGCGACCGCCAGGCGTCGAGGCTCAACCCTCGACGGGCGGATCGAGGGCCCGAGATCCTGGAGTCTAGGCTAGGCGATCCTCGGATCTACAATCCGAGGTGCTCGCAAATGCTCAAGACCAAGATCTCGGACCCCCGATCCGAGGACGGAGGGTCGAGCCGGCTCGGTGGCAGCGCAGGCCCGAGGGCGACCAGAGGAGCGCCGGGCTCGGCCCTCGAGCCTCGAATGTAGAACCCGAGATCTTCCAGTCCAAGCTTGGCGACCCTCGGATCTAGGATCCGAGGTGCTCGCAGATGCTCGAGACCTAGATCTCGGATCCTCGATCCGAGGATGGAGGGTCGAGCCTGCTCGGCGGCAGCGCGGGCTCGAGGACGGCGAGAGGGGCGATCTACTATCGCCGAGGCTCGGCCCTCGAGCCTCGGGCGTCGAACCCGAGATCTTCGAGTCCAAGCTTGGCGACCCTCAGATCTAGAATCCGAGGTACTC